CTTGAAAGCATAAACGAGGAGCTCTGTGTATGTACCCTTTACCGCGTGCGAATATCGCCTATCCTCCGAAGACTCGCTTAAATTTAAAAGACAAATAAAGTCGAGGAACTTCGTTGAGATTCATAATCCGATAAAATATTCCCGATTTCTGTCCTTGCGCCTCTGCAAATAATGAAAGACATTCCACTTAATATTCCCCTGACGATTGAACTATTACAGGGCGAAGAAAGGACCAAAAGAATTCGTTCTTGGAAAGAAGTGGATAATTTCACGGAGGATCGTCCATCGTTTTGTAATAAAGACGAAATGTTCGAGGGAAATATAGGAAAGACTGCGCTTAATCATCGACTTCTATTCTTTCAGCAAATCCACCGACCGTTTTTCTTTCCTCCGGAGCGAAACCTTCGGAGAAGAGGGGGCGAGAGTGCTTGTTCGCTATTCATTCACTACGAGCTACGTCCGAGAGAAATTGAGAAATGGTAGAAGGGGAAGAGTTTGGTCTTATGTATCATGAGTTACGCTCCTGGCGAAAGTTCACAGAGCTCCGGTAATACTATTCCAAGATAGTTGAAAGTTACCGAGGACGTCTAACATTGCCAGGAAATGTATGTACCTCAAGCCCATCGGGGTTAATACATTCACAAGGAGTCAATTTTACCACATACTCTGCATTCTATATTCAATCGACGATCAGGCGATTCTGTCTTAAAAAATGAGTCGAAAATGTATAGTAACATTTTCGGCAGGAAACTCAGTTTCCGAGATAATAGGTTTTGAAGTTGCGCACGTGTCCCACGCATATTCAAAATCAAATACATGTCAGGAATGAAGCTTAGTAAAACCAAATTCATTGTACGTTTTCAACTTGTTTTTAGATGAAGAATTCTTTCCTAACACGTAGAAAAGCTTATAAATGGTGTTAAATTTGGTAGCGAATAATTTGTGTAAATCTTAGTGTAATTCCAGTGCGTTAGTTTAATGTCTGTAATAATAAGAAGTGATTCTGTTTTCTGAAATTTGTAAAACGTATCAGTACCATCGTAACGTCCCAGCGCTCAGTTGCGATGAAAACGAACACCGACAAAATTGAACGTAAATTATATTTAACAGACTTAATTAAAATGGAAACGGGGTGCTCGCTTCTGGGAAAATATGGAAACTAATGTTCATTATCGTATGACTTTCGGTCCATTAACAGGAACTTCGACGCCGCGGCCGTTGAGGCAAGTATCGACCCTTTCAAAGGTTACGCTACTCAAGTGGCAACAGAGGAACGCAAATTGCAAGGCCAATTTGGCAACGCAACGGGATAGCTAAGAGCCTGCAATGGCTGTGTTAGGCCCTTTACCTGTACCAGCAATATGGACCCAAGGAATCGGCATACTAGAGATTCCTACTTCATGTGTATCGAAATACCCGCGTACTCAGGTAATTAATGGATCCGTGTATTTTTAATACAACCGGATACCTAAATATACGGGTACCCGGGTATCGAAATACATGGATATCTAGGTACGTACACGTTCATCGAAATACACGGGTACGCACATTGACTTGAACAGTTATTTTAACTAACAAATAAAGTTATAGAAATTGCACTAAAAAATGTATTCTGTTATATTTATTCTTCTTATGTTTATATCTTTTTTATTTATTTGTTTTATTGCGTATCAATTTTTTCAAAATTAATAAGGATCATTATTTCAGAACACAAGCTCTTTTACATAAAAGTTTGTATATAAAAATAATTATAAGTCGATGTATGCGTATCCGTGTATTTCGATGCACGTGTACGTACCTGGATATCGTGTATTTTAATACCCGTTCAAAACTGTGATCTCTGGTACCTACCGTCGAATAATTTCTTTTTATTACTAGTCGCATCTGGTTGTGAGAATCTTTATCTTTAACAGTAAAGTCTTTGTCTGCATTTCTCATGTTGAGGTATTGCTTGGCTTTATTACTCGCTACGGTCAACTTGAAAAATCCAGACCTTCAATTTACGTCACTGCAATTTCCATTTCCTACTCAAAAGAAAAGTTTATAGCCTTTTGAGTCACGAATTATTGCAAAGGAAGATAATAAATTTGCTTTCCAAAACAATAAGTTTAATATCACTTTTTATTATCGAAATGATAAACTAAATTACAAATCTATATTAAATCTTGGCGCTCAAGACAAAACGCTTCAAATTTGCCTAGCATTGAATGGCACAAGTCACAAGAGAAACATAGTCTTTCGAGAGATAGGTACGTGACTGGATCGCTAGGATGCGACGAAATCCGTGTTTCACGAATAGTATCCTGAACGGGAAACGACTGTGGTTGGTGTTCGCTGTTTCCTGAGAAATGATGGTCGAAAGTTGGTCTCAGTGAATTCCGGTCGAACTCGACACGAACTTGGAATTTTGAGCGAAACTTTTGTCGGTGTCAGCTCGCGAAACATACGGGTCATCTAGCGGGTCGCGTGGAAAATATCGAACTCTGCTGAATTTTATGGGCCGTTCAACCTCCATCTTTACAACGTGGTCGTTGTTCGATCAGAAACCGATTTTTATACGAACGGATCCGAAGTTTAACATATCCGCAACCAGGGACGTGATTTTATGTAATTTTAAAAGCTATGCCGACTCCTATCGAAGCAATTTTATATTTACTAGATAACTAGTACTTAAAAATGAGTGTTTGAATGGAGTGAAATTAAATTGAGTCCATTGGACTAAACAAATCAACTTTTATATTGTTCTGTTTCACCTTGTTTCTCACCTTAAACTAAATGTTTCTTCCATTTTATGTGTGTCCACTTATATTCTTTATACTACTATCATTCCTATGTTTTCTCCAAATGTGTTTCACATTATTACTCTGAATTATAGTATTAAAGAAAATACCTTACAAATAATCAAACTTAGCCAAACAGAACCAATTAATCATTCTACAATGAAACACAAAGTGATGCAAATCCTCTTGTAAAAATAATTTTCATATACGTCAGAAAGCGACTAAAAATGTAACCGACCACATGAATTGATTTAATCGATCAATATTAAACGAGGTGGCGCAAGACTCGCGTTGTGTTTATTTGTAAATATTCATAAGCCAGAATTTGGTATTAGGTCTACCGGAAAGTTCTGTCCGTTCCGGTTACAAGTTTCAACGAGTATGCGCATACAAATTGCAATCACGCTAGCAGGATGTTATAAATAATGCTAAAAATTTTATTATTCAATAAAATAAATGTATTATTTTGTTTTATTCTAAGACTGGACAGAACTTTCCGGTAGATCTAATAATTTTATACCGAAAATATCGCGTCTATTCAAAGTCGATTTTGCTTAGAAATTAAATAGAATGTATTATACATTGATATTCGATTTCGACCGAGCCTGCACTATCAGTGCCGAACCCACTCAACGATGAACGCGGTCACAGGCTCATTACGCGACAATTACACGAAGAACTAAGAGGAAGCTGTCCCGCTGGAAACTTCGAGGAATTGAATTAAGAAGTTCAATTAATCGAATTACGTCTTAACTTCGTGATCGTCGGAATACCAACTACCGGCAATCGTGCTGTATTTTTCGCCTCCTCGGTTTTATGGTAACGACCCGGGGACCTTCTACGCGCGAAACGATCGTTCAGAACGATGATAACGAGCTGGAGAGGAATTAAGGATATTCGAGGGAAAATTGAACGCGAGAAGTGTGCACGGACACGCCAAAGTTTTCGAGAGTGAGGGCTGTTAAGAAAGAAAAGAGGAACAGAGTTCCGAAGTTCGGAGGAGAAAGAGGGATCGCTCTGGGAGACGAGTTCGTCGCGTTTTCCCGCGGCTTCCTGTCGCGTAAGTTTCCTGTAGATTCCAAGGAATCGTGAAAATAACATTGCATTTCTTTTCTCTCGATTTTAACAATAGGGTGATCTCGTGGTTGATTTGTTTTTTTTATTGATTGATACGTGTATTAGAAGGCCATGACTAATAGAACATTCATTTTTGAATTTAAATTAACACGTTGGTCATTATATCACCACGAAATGGGTTTTCATTAACCCTTTACACTCGAATGTTCCTTCTGAGTGGAGATCGTAAGTCTAACAAATTTTGTTAGCGAAACAACATAAAAGATTCATGTTTGCAGTGGTGTCATTCAGTCTAACCAAAAAATAAGCGTTTCCAAAGTTAGATTATTTTATGTAATGCGATTCCTGTTCGCACATTTTCCAACGAAATGGCGCAGAGTGTAAAGGATTAATTAACTTAAATGGTCTTTCTTTGTTTCTGTTTCATACTTTGAAATTTGTATACGTAACTTGATAAAACGATATAATGGATGCATTCAACTATATAGAATTTATGTAGAATTATTTAGGGCCAAATGAATTTGTTTTATTGTAAGGAATTAAGTAATCATTACTTTGCTTTCAGGTAGAACTATCTAAATGTAAAAAGTGTAGGTACTAAACAGATTAATTCCAAACGCGAGGCAATAATAAAAATAAATTTGTATGGGATTTGTGAATTTGAAGAGGCTAAAGAATTAAATACTACAGCAAATGTTAAATTATCTAATCTTTGACAGTCTTGAGATAAAATTTTGACTCTGTAGAAATTTTCATGAATTTTAGCCAAGCGGCCAACGTGTTAATCAGCGTATCAAATTTAAATTCTTTTCAGAGACTTATTTTTTATGATGGCAACGTATGAACTTATTTAGAGTCGAGTGGCCCCACAGGTCACTAGTACAACTATCTAGATCTGATCGAGTCCTCGATCTTAGCAGCAGAAACAAGCCACGCTTAATATAATATTCATTTCGGCAGAAATTTCATATATTTGATGGAAATTAATTTGTAAGATTGAAGTTTAAATAAATCAGTAGCTGAAATGTTAAATCTGTTTATCAAGCGGGGCTTGTTTTCCTAGCCCTTGAGGCTCAGAGCTGCCTCTTTAGAGTTGAAGAGTCGCGAAGTATAATTAGTATCGTGCAGATTTAATCGACTCACCAATCTTGACGACTGAGGGTAACCCCGCGGTATGGAACGGCAGCTGGAGCAGCTGAAGCACAAAGACGGTGGCTACCAGGCAGCCCAAATTCATAGCTCATCTCGAAAACCCACCGTTGCGGCCTCTCGTTGGCCTTTTACAGATACACCACCGCACGAACTACACCCGCGAGCCACGACACCTCACGCTTCTATGCATTTACCTGAAAACAAACGAACCGGTGGATAAAATCGAGAATAAAAATTACCTTGCGATTAAATCATTGTATTCTCATTCGTCGTATGCCAATACACACAATATTCATCACACAATATTTTATCCCTTTGCACTCGAAGCCTGTTTTTTACTATCTACCAGCAACTCGAGATACTTTCTTAGCATTCTATTGCCACGAGTACTAAGCTATCGAGATTTGAGACTCAGGTCACCTTTACCGCACCGATAATCATTTTATTGACACTTCGAGTTCCAAAGAACTTAAACCTAAAGAAACATTATTAAACATTATTGCTGATAGATTTGCTGCGTGAAACCTAATGGTGACTGAGAGTCACCTCTCGAGTGCAAAGGGTTAATATATTTCTATATATTTTCCATCTTCATACAAATACAACAAACAGACAGAAATATTATAAAGTCAGTTTACAATTTCCCAATATTGCTTAGGAAATGTCTAATTTTTCAAGCACGTGAGTTCATATACGACCCCACAAATCTCTCGTGAAATAATTCACTGGGCTAGCGAAACAAGTGTAATTGCCAATCTGACGGTCATAAATAATCGTTACAGTGAGAATTCGCGGAACGAAGTTCGTATACACTGTCGAGCGCACGTCGCTTCGCGCTTCGTTACAGCGTCGACCTGGAAATTACTGTGAATTAATGCGAGCAGACGAATGGGTGGTGGGGACGAAGCGGTCGTTTGCTGGCAAATTATTCGACTCGACGAGTTCGTTCGATGTTTTGACCAGGCGACGCGATGAATGATACCATGATGTACGCGAAACGAGTGCACATTGTGCCGCGCCGGTGTTACAGCGACGAAAATTTCCACGGGGCGCATTCAATCGCGAGATTTGCGCTCGAACTGATCCCAAATTAGGGAAATCATATCGTACGAGAGTCATTCGATGCCATCGCGTCATTCTCCATTTTTCGAGTTTATATATTTAATTGGAATTGTCCTACAAACGAATTAGTTATTGATTCACGAGAAATTAAAATTATTTTGCAATTCAATTAATCCTCTTAAATAGGATCCTTTCCCACATATCCCACAATTGAGACCTTGATTCAATTTTCTCGACATATTATTTTACTAAATTATTCTGCATTTACGAATTATTCACAGTTTAAAACGTTAAAAATATAAAATAAAAATCTACAGAAAAGATTCCCGAGCAAGAAAAAAGCATCTGTATTCATGTGTGTAGTACATACCAATAACTGTTCATGTGGTCCAATACGCGAAGCGATTACTTCAAGGAATTGGATATCGGCATTGGTTTTCGCGAAAGGCGACAAAATGCGCAACAATTTGAATGTGTTTCGATGGCGATCAGCAACCGACTGACTCGCTTCAAGGAGACAACGAGTACCGAGTGGTCGGTACGGTACAAAAAAAAGTTGTTTACTACAGTGCTCGAACGGTTGCGGCGCACCGTCGAATTTAATGTTTAGGGACACGGCGGAATTTCGAGTTTTGAAATATTCATTTCAAAACGAATATGAATAGTACGTTAACTGATGATAGTTAAATGAGATTGATTGTTAAATGAAAAGCAAATATTTCCTCCAGCATTATAAATGTACCTAACGCAGATCTAGCAGGTAGGCACATTTTGGCTCGTTTTTAACGAATAACGAGAAGAGAAATTCTACAACGTGTCTCAAAACTCGCGTAGGAGCTAAGACGATTCTCAACAACAATTTCTTTTGCAAAAATGTCGATGAAGGCTTCATTTTTGAATTATCAATTTTTACATTTTTGCAAAGAAAATTGTTGTTCCTGAATCTTCTCAGCTACCCTCCGTTTCCGGCTCCTACGCGAGTTTTGGGACACTCTGTATACCTCCTCTTGGTACGCGAATAGAGATGCAGGAGCAGAGACAACAGCAGGAATTCCGTTAGTTCGCCGTAAATGGAGAAAAAGAGAGATCCACGCAGAGTGGAGAAAATTTTCATTTTCGCACGAACGAGCGTCTCACGACTGGCTGTATCGCGCACTTCAAGCCAGATTCAATGTTTCTCATTGGCCCTGGGGAAAAGCAGAAGTCTCAGCCGATTCTGGGGGGCTTTGTCGCGCGAATTTACATTTTGCCCGCGGGCTCGGCCCGCTCCACGGAGCGGAATTTATCGCAGCAAATATCGCGGTCACGCTTCCTGGCCGTCGCGCGTGCCGTTGAGTTTGTAAAACTGAAATTTATTCGACCGTCGTGTTTTCAAAATCATTCGCAACCGCGTCCCGTGACGGTGGAAATGAAGCAAGCCGCGAAGTGGGTCATTAGGCGTGTCCAGCGATGCGAAATGCGCGAAATGTTGCATAAAATGAATTTTGGTCGGTGCAGGAAAGCACCGACGAGGAAAATCAGCATTTTTGAATTTTGGATAAATCATGGCTCGAAACACGAGTTTGGTTTACGAGTGAAATTATTGGTACTGGTGCAACTGGCGAGGTGTTGTCGGTAAATAAAATAGTAATGTCGTTTTGGTTCATCGTTCTAGCATGGATAATTGTGTTGTTTATTATAATAAATCTCTGTTTGCCAAAATAAGTATCTAAGTATAGAATTGAAATTTCTGAAATTATTTTTCTTCTGTTTAGATTGTCACGAACTTTATATTATACTTCTCATCATTATGCACATAAAAGAATGGAAGTTCGATTAATGAAAACGTAATATTTCATAGAATATTTCATATTTTACGTTAGGATATTACTTTATCCCAGCAGTTCGCAATGAATGTTCAAAAATTTTATTACTCGCTTCTTTACATTCCTAATTAGATTTTTAATTTCCGCAGCAATTATTCTCGAGGAATTAATTTCCATTTTAACCACCGTGCCATTAATTGAAACAAAGACTGCGAATGCGCTTTATCCTTTAAAAAACTCTGAAAGAGAAGATCGAGTAAGTAGAGAAGGTGGAGAATTATGTTCTTAGGGGCTGTACCTGGATAGTACAATCGATACGATACATCCTCACGTTTGGAATTCTCTCCATTTTTATTGCATTTTATAAATGGCCTAAATTTTCGAAAGTATTCTTGCCAAAAAATCTATCAGAGCTTTTTGCATTCAGCTTGGAGAGAACTCGAACTACCGAATAAAATGTAAATAAAAATAAATGTTAACTGTTTATATTAACACTGAGAGAAAATTCTTGTTCCATTGCTTCGCGAATCTTCATCACGTCACACGAATTTCCCTAACCCTTGCACTCTTCGCTCGATCTCGACCTTCTTTGCAAGTGCAAATCAAGGCTTGCAAAGGAGCACGCGTTCGGAGAATCCCATTATTTTCCATTCTTCCTCCACGTATACAAGCACTCTGCGGTTTCGTCGCCGCCATTACCTCGCATAAATTGTAAATTCGACGCTGGTGGTTGTCGTTCGATCGACGCGAAAGTACCTCGTTAGATGTTTCGCGGTTGTTTCGCGACTCTTGAGAATAAAATCGTGGAAACAACGTCATTGTCCGCGAATACGGTTCGAATCCGTGTGTCTGGGCGCGCGTTTTATTCGACTTTAATTCAATGTAACGATTCTATCGCAGGACAGAAGGAATTCGAGCAAGTTAGACGAGAAGAAACAATGGAACGGCACTCAGCGCGAGGTAATGCAATATCGTATATCCGGGCCAGTCTCGACTGGCAGACTGGTCGGCGACTTCTTCGATCGGCGTGCAATCGAGTCTCGAAACCCCGTTCGTGTAATTTCGACGTCTGACGCTTGCATTCTCGAGGAATCGAAGGCCATTTTTGGAACAGTTTAAACGAGAGAACTGGCACGAGGATGTTATCGATGGGTACAGGACGGAAATGGATACCGATGTGGAATAATTAAGGGGGTCAGTATGGGTCAGAAAAGGACACAATTCTATTACAATAATACGTGACCGATGGAACGAATGTAGAGCAATGTAAATAGATGGGAACAAATTTTAGCTACGTTTTGGATGTGTTTTAATGAGACATCTTTAAAAGTTTAGGTTGTAAAATAAAATGGAATATAATTAATCAAAAAGTAAGGGGTTGATAGGTTTAGTTTGAATATTGGATATTTAAGGAGGTGAGTTTGGGTCAGAAAAGGACAACTTTATTCCAAGAATACGTGACCTATGAAACGAATGTAGAGCGATTTAAATAAACAGGTATACCCATGTTATCACAGAACAAACCAGAATCCTGTTTGAATTTAAAAGTAGTGGATCAAGAAAAACTAGATAGAATGAATAAACGAATGTCAGTTACAGGGTTAAAATGTGGCTCAAATGAATAAGTTTTCGAAATGTTACATTTAATTCTTCCAAAATGGTGTCTGAAATGCTACATGGTTGCCAGTAACTGGAGATTCACACACGAAAACGAATAGGTATATGACACTTGATACTTTAAAAGCTCTGATAATGGAATGCAAATAGGATTACGTTGTAGAACAGCAATTCACCCTATTTCACCCTTTCACCTCGCGTTCCATACAATCTGTCCTATCTTCGTCGACACGAAATTATGTTTTGCTTCTGCTACGACGAGTAATCTCATTAAAATAAAATGTAAAAGGAATAATAAATCAGCCTTACTGAGTAATCTACCAGCAAAACCTCGACGAAATGCCAATTTCAATCTCTCATTCACGTCTGAATATATTAAACATGCTCCTGTTCAATATCAATGAAGAAAACGAGTGACAAATATATTCAGTTTGAAACTGTTTGTTCAAATACATTTATTCAGGTGCTGCATATTTCTATCGTTCAAATTTCCCAAGAACGTCACAACAATGCAGAAAATGTTAAATTTAACGGAAATGAGAACTCTACGAGCGACATAAAACGCAAACGACGCGAAAAATATAAGAATTTCGAGAAATTCCAAGCATTTCGCTTGAAAATAGCCGTCGCCAGTAACTAAAGCCACAATTATAGTCGAGAAAGACAGTTTAATATTGCTGGCAAACAATTTCTACCCTCAGAGAATATAA